GTAATGCAAACAAGCAAACAAACGAGAAGGAACGAGGTCGATGAGCGGAAAAGTTTGAGGGACGCAGCTGAGGGAAGGGGAGACGCAGGCGCAGGGTGGACGCACACCGGTGCCTTTTAGAGGAAAATGTGGGCATGAGGAGGAAGATAATGGACAAGGGGGGACACCGGAGGAAACGACCGAAAAGAAACAAAAAACTGGAGGCGACGGTGTCCCTGGAGGAGGAGGAGGGAGTGGGGTGGAGTGGCTGCGAGGGCGGTATGCGCAGCGGCGGCCCCGGGGCACCACCACCACCACCACCACAACAATCAGTAGCCACCCCGCACTTTCATCGGGTCCCTCCCCCCACACGCACACACACACACATATATAATATATACTCCCCTCTCATCACTTCAGCAAACCGGTGGGATAAATTTGTTTCAATATAAACTTACAAAAAGGAGCGGGGGGGGGGAACACACACCGAAATCAACGAACGGAGAAGAGAAAGGAAAAAAAAAAAAACAGACTAGTGGGGGTGGGGGGTGGATGCCGTGTAGATCCACAGAGAGAGAGAGAGATATACACATATATATATATGTATGTATGTGTGTACGTGTGTATGCGTGCGTTCGTGTTTCAGCGGAACAACTACAATGAGGGGTGCCTGCGCCCGTGTAAGAGAAGAAGGCAAAAACAAAAACGACAAAACCCCGAAAAAGAAGTTAAGTGAAGCTTTTTTAAAGGAAAACGTGGAGGACACCAAAAAAAAATACACAAACAGAAACACGGGGTTATGCTTAACAACTCTCACCCTTTATTTCCATATTTTTGCCACGCGCAAACACACACACACACACACGTTACTTTTTATGAAATATTTATTTACGCTCCGCGCCCACTCCGCAAATTAAAAAAAAAATATCAAGCGACCGCCACCGCATCCCTCCTGTTCTGTGCCCCGCCGCCTCCGCCCCGACACGGCCCCCACCGCCGTCCCGGCGAGGAGGAACAGTGACAAAAAGGAGTGGGAAAGTAACGCGAGGAAAAATATATAATGTGTGCGCCAGGTGTGTGGCGAGTATAGAGGTACCGGAGTGAAAACGGGGCGGTGAGCAAACAACGGCAAGAAATGGAAGAAAAAAAACTAAAAAACACGAGAATAGAATGTTCGTAAATAAAAGCAATACGTACAACCACGAAAAGAAGAGCGGTCGTGACAAAGAAGGTTCTCGGCACACACACACACATATATATATATATATATATATTTCGCTGTCAAGCTCTCACGCTTGCGGCTGTGCCTGCGCTTTGCCCGTGCCTGGAGCTTCTTTTCTCCCTCTCAGCTCCTCGTTCTCCGCTGATGTGCCTTTTCTTCCCCGAGAGAGACAGCGGAAGGAGGGGGGGTGCAGAAAGGAATGGAGTAGCGTTTTGTGGGAAAAAAAACTGTCTGTGTGTGTGTCTGCCAGAGGGCTGTGGGGTGGAGGGGGTGAGTGCGTTTCCCATCATTCTGAGGCGGCGGCCGTTCCTCGTCACTCGTAGCAAAAGCACGCACGACTCAAGCGCAGAAATAGGACGCTTTCGTAAGGCACTGGAGGAACGCGTGTGTGAGAAGGGGGAACGGGGAACAGACAAATAAAAAAAAAACTCCGAACGGGGGGCAGGTGAGGGGGGCGGGTTGGAACTGAAACGAGTTCCGACTGCGAAGAGAAGCCATAAGAAGCACGGTATAAAGTTTGTAAAGGTGCAGGAAGGAGGCGGGAATGGATTTGGTCTGACCTCAAGTGGAAGAGGAGGAAAATAAAAAGTGCCAGCTACAGAAGATGCAGGAGTTTTTATCTTCTGTGATTTGCAACCCGAATACGTGTGTTTTATTACTATTATTATTACTACTACTATTCTCTTCCATGCACGTGCTTTGGGTGTGCTGCTCCATGATTGAGGTAGTTTTCCTCTCTTCGTTCCTTTTCCCTTTTTTTTGTTTTTGTTTTTGTGGTTCCTGCCTGCGTGTGAATAAAATAAAAAGAGCTTTTGCTCGCGCCACTGTCGGAACAACGTTCATTCTACTTTTGTTTCCCCTCCTACGTTTTTTTTTGGTTGTGTCTTTTCTTCTTGGCCCGTCTCCTCCCAACGGAACCGCGTGCTCCACGCCTCTGCGGGCACAAGTGGCACTCGCAGGCGTCACAAGGGAGGGCGCAAGGCAGAGGTAAGGGAAGGTGGCCAGGGGTGGTGGCCGCCCCAGGGACGCCTGAGCGACATGCAGCTCAACAATCCCTTTCTCACCCAGACGGACGAGACGGACTTGGCGGGGGAGCACGACAGGCGAGGAACTCTGCCTGAGGATTCGGAAAGGTGCTTTCAGGTGGAGGAAAGTGAACTTTCCGTAGAGGAGGCCGGGGATGAGAGCGACGACGACTGCCCCACGCCACCGTACGTGCCCTGTCGCTGCCAGTTCGGTCTCTCCGCAGCGGCATTTGTGCTTCGTTTAGATTAGCGTCACCGTTACCTAAGTGAGCCGTGGAGAATGTTGACGTGGCGCGTATGCGTTTACATATATGTATGCATACCTGCATACCTGATGCTAATGGCTGGAGCTCTTGTTGTATTCTGCTGTGCGGTGCCTTAAGGCGTCTTTTTCTCTCTCAGCAGGGGGGGGGGGGCACCTTGTTCCCCGGCACTTTGCACCGTGTCGTGTGTTTGCTTGAGCCTTCTTTACTTCCCTTTTGCAGCCCCTCTTCCCTCCTTTTTGTTTGGTCGCTGGCGCCGTTGCGCACATGCGTCTGCTTGCAGAAGGCGCGGCTTGGGACGCGGGGGCGTCGGATTGCCGCCACAGCGTGAGTGGGAGGTGGGGTGGGTTAACAAAAACAAAACATAAGGCAAAGTGGGGGGGTCGTTAACGGCGGGCCGAGATGACGCAACGAGATCCGTTGGAGCTGTTGCATGGCGTCCGCCCATCCCCCTGGGGGCTGCGGTGCATCGCCCTTCACCCCGCCTCTCGCGCCTGTGCGGCGCTGCGGCAGTTGATCATTGTTGCGGAGGAAAAACGACGCCGCCCTGCCGGTGAGGAGGACAGGGAGGCCGCGGTGCTCCTGACGCGGCTTGTGGAGTGGCCGCTTCCCGTTCTTGCCCGCGGCGCCTCCGTGCTGCGCGGGCTGCGTGACGTCGTGCGCGGGTGGATCGCCGCGGCGCAGGCAAAAACGCTTCTCCCCCCGTCTTCATCTTCGACGCACTACCGACGGCTGTACAACATCTGCCTCTGGCAGCGGCGCCACCCACTCTTCCTCCTCGCCCCTGTCCTCGACGCCTTTGGCGACCAGCTGTCGTGTGAGGCGCTGAATGATATGCTGGAGGCTCTCTCGCAGCATATATTGGGCAGCCTGGGCAACGTACCCCACCTGCTGCGCGGTGATGTTCTTATGACCTACCCGCGTCTTCCGTTTCCGCGGCAGCTGCAACTCATGGAGTCCCTCCGCACGGGCTATGCGCTGGAGAAGTGTGGAACGCCACCGCCACCGGAGTTGTATCTTGGGGAGTACGTGCGCCACGTGCCGCCGCGCTTTGGAGCAGATACTCTCAGTGCGGCGCAGTACGCAGAGCTACGGCGCGCCTTTGAGCTACAAAAACAGACAGGCATAAGGCGACTGCTTTCATGCACGCCGTAATTCCTTTATAAATATATATATATATATACCTTCTATTTTGGCTCCCTCTGCTTGCTACGATTTTAACGTGCCGTCGTGTGACTGCCGCTCTCGCTCTCTCTTTCCGGCACACACACACACACACAAGCACACATTAACAGATTTGATTTGGCGTTTGCGTCTATTGTTTGTTTGTTTGTTTTTTCTATTTTTTGTTTGAGGGTTTTAGTGTGTTCGCTTCTTACGTTGCTGGTGTGGGGGATGCGCAAGACACGCACCGCCTCTCACCCTCCTCCTACTCCTACTCCTCCTCGCTATCTTTGTCCGCGTCTTGTTGTGGTTGTGGCTGTTGTGTTACTGCAGGCACACACGCACATTAGCGTAGAAGCGCTGCCTTTTGACTCCGTCCTTCACTCTCGCCACGTCATTCAGCAACGCAAAAGGCGCGAGCAACGCAATAGCGGATATTGACGTGTATATTACTAGCACGAGCTAGCTAAGGAAGGAAAGGTAACAGGCAAGGTTAGGAAGGACAGGGGCAAACACGCGAAGCCTTGTGGAAAGATGCAGGCGGTTCTGCAGCAGATTCACCAGGCCAATGTCAAGGCACTCTTGCTAAGTAGAATTAACCTCTTCTTTATTGTCTTTAATTGTGCGGCGATGCTTATTCTCATCGTGACGTGGTCGGTGTCGATTATGAAGGAGGGTGGCGGTGTGCTGGCGCGCTACGCGGCGGGCATTATCGCCTTTATTCTCCTTGTGTTGGCCACGTTCCTCTCGGTGCTGGTCCACCGCCTGCAACCGCAGCTGCCGCTCTACTACGCCCACGAGGTCATCTCGATCCTCGCCCTCGTCCTCACCGCCATCACAATGGGCATGAACGACGTGGTGGTGGACCTCTGCCACACGAAGCAGGCGCTGGCAAGCACGCAGTGCGGCTCCCACGTGGCCGAACTCGTGGCGGAAATCATGGCAAGTGTTGCAATGGGATTTAACTACGCCTCCACGCAGCAGCGCATTATAAACTTCATTGACAAGGGCATCCTTGACGGCATTAAGGGGCGCTCGGGCGGCATGACGCAGCTGCCGTAGCGGGGCCGCTGCGACGAGGAGAAGGCGGCGACGCGACGCGACGCGAAGAAGAGAACGACACGATAAGTTCATTGAAAAAAAAAAAAGGCAGGAAAGCGGTGGGGAAAAAAAACAGGAATAAACGAATTAAAAGATGTGCAGGATGTGACGACGTACCATCCTGTGGCGGCTGTGTTTTGTAGAAACGCCTGGAAGGAGGTGTACGCTGCGCTGAGGGCAAAGAAATGCGAGGCAGATTCGCTCGTAACGAGTGTGTCCCTTAGACGTTGTTTGGTCATTTTCTAGCGAGAGACCGCGGCGAAGTGCCCCGTCGGGCGCACAGTTTTTTGTTACTTTCTTGGTTTCTCTTTTTAACCTTCACTCCCCTTGAACAATGCCCTCCGCGCGCAGAGGAGGGAGGGGGTAGTCGGAGGTTGCGGGGAATCCTAAAGCTTGTTGCAGCGTCCGTGTTGGCACCGGGGCCCCGGGCTGTCGTCGAACGCCTCTCTGTGTTGCTACTGTGTTTTGGTTGCTGCTGTTAAATGTGTCTGGCTTGGGTGGGCACGTTGGGCGGGCTGAGCCGCACGGTTGGACCTCGCTGGTTTTTTCATTTCCTCCGTACAGGAAACTATATATATATATATATGGGGAGGGCAGGACTTTCTCCGAAGCGTATATTTCTCTTCTTTTTTTGTTTTGTTTTGTTTTGTTTTGCCTTTTTCTCTCTTTCTGTGTGCCTGGGCGTAGGTGTGTGGGTGGGTGCGTTGCTTTGTAAGTTTGCTCTCGTGCCCCTGTTTTTCCCCTCTTTTGTGGGTTTTGCTCCACCTGAATTTTTGCGCTCGCACGCTCTTTCTTCGTCCGTTGTCCGTCGCCCCTCCCTCGTCTGTTCTGCCGCGTTGGTGTGGTCATTGCGTCTTGCGCTGCGCCTGCGTGTCTTTTTTTTGTGTGTTTGTGCCTTTGCGGCGAGCGCTGGCGGCGGCGACACGCCTGCGTCTTCACTTCCCCGCTGCACGTCCTCGCACCCAAAGGAGCACGCGAAGGAGGAGGGAACCTCAACGGTGGGTACGCGTAGTGGCAGTCCCCAGTAATCGTAGCGGCGGCGGCGACTGGAGTGGAGTGGAGGGCGGAGGGGATGTACATTGGGGCGTCAAAGCCCCACACCACACTTGTGGTGGAGCACACCTTCCTGCTCTGCAAGCCGGACGCCGAGCAGCACCACCGCTACATTCTGCAAACCGTCTCCGACGCCGGGTTTCAGGTCATGGCGAAGTCCTTCATCATCACCCCCGCCTTGGCGGAGGAGCTTGCAAGCACGTTTCCGAGTGTGCGGAGGCGCAGGTACGCCGAGCGCGGCGGCGTGGACAAAATATTTAGTGGCCCCAAATCGACCCCGCTGAACGACAACACCTTCTTGCCCAGACGGCGGAAGGGTACGGCGGAGCGGGGCCGCCCCAGCCGCGGCGGCGGCGAGGCTGCTTTTGCCGCCGGCGGTGAGGAAGGCGGCAACAGCAATAGCGGCCGGAGCAGCGCGAGCAGCGGCGCGGGTGCCGGCGACATCAAGCGTCACCGCAGCCAGGAGACGCATCAGGGCATCATCGCGGAGATTCTTCGTCTCACAAGCCGGCACGCCGAGGACGAGGGAGTCAACGCCGGACTACCAAACGTCGCCGATGAGCAGCGGGCGGCGAACGGAAGCGAGAGGGCGCAGGATGGCGGACGCAGGGACAGCCGAATGCAGCAGGAGCAGAAGCCTGAGCGTCGTCTGGCGACCGGGGTGGTGTTGAAAAACACGATGATCGAGGTAATGTCTTACAAGGAGCTCCTCAAAGAGCACGTGCGCCACCTCGCATTCGGGGGAACCTGCTTGGCGGTGGAGCTCTCCAGGCACAATGCCGTAGAGAAGCTGTTGGAGATTGTCGGCCCGGAAAACCCTATGGACGCACGCCGTGCCGCACCGTACAGCCTCCGGGCACGCCTCGGAACGGATTTGGTGCGCAACGCCGTTTACGCCGCCTCCAACTTGGCGGAGGCGAGTCACTGCATCTCTGTCGTCTTTGGCTTTTCAACCCGCTACTCCACAGCGGACGTCCGTGCCCATACCGCCATGCCAGAGGCCGGTGGCGTCAAGAATGATGAGCAGATCAGTGGAGTCCCTGCGATTGTGCGTCCCTACTGCAAGCTGGTGAGTGTCGCATGCCACCCCTCGCACCGTGGCCCAGTGAAGCCCGCTGCGGTGTTACGTATTGAGGAGACCAACCCCCAGGCGCACGTCTCGTACTACACGGGAGAGCCCGGGCCAGGGCAGGCGCGGGAAAAGGGGGAGGCGGACGGCAATGCGCGGCGTGGTCAGCCGGGTGACAGTGAGGCGTGGAAGCAGAAGGCAGAACAGCTAGAGCAGCGGCTTGCGCAGGAGCAGATGGAGCTGATGACGCGTGCGAAATTGCTCCGCGCGCGTGAGTTGGACCTGCTGCTGCGCGAGCATGCCTTGGAGAAGGCGACGCGCAACGTTATTGCCCCGGCACGGCCGATTGAGGCGAGGGCGGAGCCGCAGTTGTTCCCCCGCACCCTGTCGGGGTCAGTGGAAGAGCCGATGGGGAGGGGCCGGCTGTCGCCCTCCGTCGTCCTGGGACAGCAGCCGTTCTCGCCACAGAACAAACTGGGCGCAACCCCGCTTCATCAGAGCTTGCTGGAACCCCGCTCCCCACTGCCGCGACTTTCGGCTGCCGATGCGCTCACGGCCACGGCGCGCGGGATGCTGCCGGTGATCGAGGCGGAGGACGTCTCGCTGCTGGTGACGACGCCAGTTCGCCTGCGCGCGCTCTACGTGGCCTTGAAGCACTACTCCGAGAACGGAGAACTCACGCGGAAGGAGGTGCTTGCGTTGTATGACCGTAGTCCCGCCGTCCAGCTGCTGTGGATGGACGACCACCGCAATTTCTTTTGGCGGTACGTGGAGCTGCACACCGAGGAGCCCGTGGCGTTTGACAGCTTCGTTTCCGTTCTGATGTTCCTTCTCAAGCAGTAGCAACTCCCGCTGGTGTTCCCCCGCCCAGGCTGTGCAGCTCCGTGCCAGTCTCTGAGGCATGTCTCTACTCACAGGCGCAGCGACAACAGCAAAAGGGGGCGGGGAAGAGCACACCGAAGAAACGGGCGAAAACACTTCTTTACGTGGGACGCTTGGACTGGCGGCCTTGGCGTGGCTTGCGGCCCCGCGCCGGACGCGCCTTTCTGCAGCTGTAATATATATAGCCTTTTGCGTGGGCGAGACTCCAACAGGGTTCCGCTTCTATGTGAACGCCAGCAACAAATACTTGCATGTAAATAGTATGCGTGTCTCATTCTCTCCCTCTCTCTGGCCGTTCTTTTTTCATCAGCCTCTCCTTTCCTGTTTTGCCTGTTTGTGCTTATATATGTCTGTATGTATGTTCGTTCTTCAAGCATCGTGTTGTTTTTCTTAGTTACTGTCTTGTTTTATTGCTGTTGTTGGGGTTGTTTCTTCGTTGGCGTGGTTTTATCGGTAGGTTTTGTAGGAAAATCGAGGAGGTTCAGCCGCGCAGCCGCACACGCAAGCATCGATTTGGCTACAATATTTTCACGCATTTAGCTAGACATACACACACACACGCACGCACGCACGCACGCATATATTTATATAAATATATACATATATTTCTGTGCCTGTTTGTGCCACAGGCGGCGAGAGCGCGGGGAGAGGGCCGAGGGCCGTAAACTGCAGAGGAACACGCAAGGGAGGGAGAGGACCCCACGGCACGGTGGAGGGCAGGCGAGGGTGCAGAAAGGAAGCTTCTGAGCAGAGGGAGTAAAGGCAGAAGGGGCGAGAGAAAACAAAGCAAGGAAAAAAAGAAAGAGAAAACAAAAAAAAGGTAAAGGAAGACAAAAGGAGGTGAGAGGAGAGAGGCGCAGGCAAGGAAGGCCCCCGTCCCATTCGTTATTACGCTGGCCGATACCCCGGGCAGCAGCAGGGGAGAAGGGAAGCGGCAGGGCGGCAAACACAAAAACAAAAAACAAAAGGGGCGCAAGGCATAACATTAACGGCGGCGGCGGCGTCCAAGCACGGGGAAGTAAGCGGGCAGCCACCACAGGCATTTTTACGCGTCTGTGGGATCCAAGCGGAGGGTGGGCGCCTGCAGAGGGAGAGGAGGAGAGGGACGGGCGGGCGTGGGTGCGACACACGCAGGTGAGAGCAGGGGCGAGCCGTCAGCAGCGGTGACAGCCCCAGAAGCGGCTTCGAGGCAAGGCAGCAGCCGGGCGGAAAAAAAAAGAAAGAAGAACAATAACAATAACAAGAACAAAGGCAAAAAATCTTCGGAACTCTCGCGCCCCCATTTTTTTCGTTTTCGTAACTGGGGGCTCGCCGTATCGTCGTTAAGGGGAAGGTAAGAAGCCGTGGGGGACGGGGGTGCAGACCGCAAAGCAGGAGGTGGCTGCGTGCGTGAAGAGCAGCTCCCACTTCGCGTGAGGCGTGCGGAAAGCAACAACTAAAATAAGATAAGCGAGCATCGAGAGACTCCTCGAGGAAAAGAAAGAAAAAGAGGGGAGCCCGCGGAAGCCACAGTCACACGCAAGCAGCAAGAGGATTGGAAAGCAATAGAAGCATACGCACACGGGCGGAGGAGGGTTACGGGGCTTTAACGTTTCAGAGCACCGGGGTATTCGCCGTTGTCGTTGTCATTTAATTATTATTATTATTTTTTTTCTGAGAATCAGAGAAGGAACAAATCGGAATAAAGGCGCAAAAGAGGGAAACGGGGAAAGAAGTACAAGGGGCGTGATCGAATAGAGGTGTAATCAATTCCGGGCTTCTCCCACTTCCTCGTTCGCTCGCTGCGTGTGTCTGTGTGTGTTTGTGCGTGAAGCGGCGCCCATCCATGGATCACCAGACCATGTCAAATGTGCCGCCCCGTATCGGTTCAGCGCCCCTCTCGCACCCGCAGCAGCCGTTTCAGCGCGTGCCAAACCGCACCCTCGGGGGGTTCCGTGGTTGTCCACCACGCCCCGGCGGCGACCGCCCACCGTCGCTGCCGCCTTCCCAGTCGAACTTCTTTGATCGGGCGGCGCCCCCGCAGCCGACCGGGCCCCCGGCGTCTAGTAACCCGGCCGACCGCATCTACGACATAGCGGAGTTTGTCAAATTCCAGCACACAAAGGAGGCGCCGCCAAAAGGTGTTCTTGAGTTCGTCAAGGAGTTATGGAAGGAGATGCCGGAGAACAAGGACAGTAGGCCGGAGCATATTCTCTCTCGTGAGAGCCTTTTCAGGGGCGAGTCCATTCCCTCCAAGGTGATGAAGGAGCGTAAGCTGCACAACGAGGTGCTCGGTATTCTGGGAAGGGTGGGCGAGGGCAACCTGCAGGCGATGAAAAAGGAGCTCACCAACCTCCCAATCCGCCAGTCCACCGACAAGGAAATTCAAGAAGTCATTCAGGTCATCTTCAACAAGTCCATCCAGCCGGAGGACAGTATTTTCGTGCCGTACTACGTGAAATTGGTGGTCGCGCTCATCAACGACATTGGCGAGGGGGAACCGGCAGGACGCCTAATTCGCAATGCGATTATCCGGCAGTGCCAGAGTACGTTTGAAAACTCCGAAGAAGCACAGGCGCAGCTGGAGCGAGAAATAGCAAAGCTGCCAGAGGAGGAGGCTGAGCAGCGTCGACTAATATTTGCGGGAAAACAGAAGGCCAATATTAACTTCTTGGGGCTTTTGTTTACTCACGGCCTTGTCCGTGAGAAGGTAGTGTTGCATGTCCTTGAGTGGCTTCTCTACGGCACCGAGCGCAAGCGACGGTTCCCGGCGGACTACGAGCTGATTCACTTTATGAACCTCCTCCTGACATGTGGCAAAAGCTTTTCAAAAGAGGGCCAGGAATTTGTGCCCAAGTTTCGTGCTGTGATGGAGGAGCTCATGCACACGCACCCCCAGCGACGCATGCAGTTTCTGCTACTCAACACTGTAGAGACGATAGACAACAATTGGGAGCCGCCGTTTGGTGCCAAGGCGGCGTCTTCACACGACAACGACAATGAGCGGCGGCACGAGGCGCCGCAGCCACCTCGGAATAAATTAGTACTAGCGCCCCCAATGAATCCAATTCCGTCGCGGGATGGGTTCTGGGCGGCGATGGATAAATTCTTCGTCACGAGTAGCGCGGAGGAGGTGCTGACGCTGCTCGCCGACATCCCCGAGGAGACACGCATTGTGTACTGTACCTCGGTGATCCATCGCTACATGACCACCACGCGCTGCGTGCAGCAGCGTGCCAGGCTTGGTGAGCTGTTTGAGGAGCTGGCAAACAAACGCGTGCTTCCCGTGGAGGATGTGCGGAAGGCGCTCTTCAATCACCTGCGCGATGCGGTGCGGGAGGACCTCTTCACAGATGTCCCAAGGTACTTCAGTAATTGGGCAGTTGTGGTGAAGGGTGGCCGCGACGTGTTTCCGCCGTCGCTGCACACGGAGTTCCTTAACCTGCTGGTGGACAACGGGGCCAGCCGGGAGACGCTGGTCGACATGGTGCGGGAGGTGCATAAGCTGCAGAGCGAGACCCCGGGGGCGGTGGAGACAGACGCGCGGTCGCGCTTCCGCGTCCTTCCCGCCCTGCTGCGCTACACGCCCCCGCTGCTCTCCGGCGACGCCGCGGACGACTCCGAGGACATCCTTAAGCAGCTTAGCGAATACGACTCCGACGTGGATTACTTTTACCACTTCTGTGAGCAGGTGGACTCGAGAGACGTCTTCATGTGCACCAATTCCCTTGGAAAGACCCCGCATTTGGCCTTTTCGATGATCTCCGCCATTTTCACGTTTGTGCGCTTTGACGTGGAGGCCCTCTGCCGGGAGTACAAGGAGGCGGTGAAGAAGCTGGTGAACACGAAGCAGCTGCATCTGCTGCTGGAGGAGGTTTACGTCACCTGGCGGGCCCTCGACCGCACCCCGGAGAACAGCTTCCTGCTGTTTGTCAAGGCACTCCGCTCACTCAACGCGACGAGGGATCAACTGGACAAATTTAAGACGCTTCTCACGAAGAATTACGGAACGGCTGGCAAGAAAGACGCCGCCATGCTTGACAAGCTAAAGTAGGCGCGGGAGGCAATATATACATATGTGCGTGCATGCATTACAAAAGGACAGGCAGTCAGACAGACCGACGCACGGGATAGAACAAGAAGCAAAAATGAGGAAAAGGGAGGACACACACACAAATGAAAAGAGGAGGAAAAGGCGAAAGACATGATATTTGTGCTGCGTTTGTGCGTGTGTCTTTGGGCCTCCTCTCTGCGGAGTAGCATATATTAATATGAGGCAAAACACTTACACGCATGGCAACAGTTGTTTTGTTTTGTTTGTGTGTGTTTTTTTTGTTTGTTGTTGTTTTTTTTGTTTTTGGTAACAACCGGTTGTGCATTCTTGTGTGTGTGTGTGTGTGTTTGGCGTGTTGAATTTGCAGTAGCAATGATTAAAATATGCGGGAGCATCCCCCTCCCCTTTTTTGTGTGTGTGTGTGTGTTTGTGTGTGTTCTTGTCATTACTGTTTGTTGAATGTTTCACCCGAGGCCCAGAACTTATAACGCCGCCACTGTTGTGGGACGTCTCCTGCCCATCGACGGAGGGGGTGGGGGCCGGCGAGTCAGCGACGCCCGCGCACCGGGGGGCCACTCGTGGTGGTGGCGGTGGTGGGAAAAAAAGGTGCGCGTGCGCGTGGGCTCCGGGGGCGCAGCAGACAACACGCCGTGCGTACGAGGGAGGGGGAGGGGAGGCCACCAACGAAAGAGTGAAAATGGGGCGGACGGAGGTGGAGAAGGAAGGGAAGCGCGAGGGAGAGCGGCGGGCGCACTGGAGAGAGGACCATAACGAAAAGGAGTAAACAAACTTCATTTTTAAGTTATCATGCCACATCATTCGCTTTGGCTGCAACTCTGTTTTTTTCTTTTTCTTTTTTTTTCCTTTTGTTTTTCTTTTTGCTGTGATTGTGTTTTGTGTGTGCGTGTGTCATTGGGGCTTCTGCGGCTGCTTCCTTTTTTAATGGCTTGCGTTTGTGGACCCGCGGGCGTGTGTCCGCAGGCGCGTTGGGGAGGGCGTTGGGGGAGAACACGTCGGCGGCGCTGTTTTAACAGGTGTGCGCTGCGTGTGCGTGTATTTCCGCAGCCGCACACTTGCGCCCACCCGTCTGCCCTCGCAGAGATGCGTGTAAATAAAACCCGGCGCCTCTCTTTTTTTTTCCCCCCCGCCCCCTCCCGGCGTGTGCGTGTGCGTGTGTGTGTGTCGCTCCGGCGCGTGGGGCGTCGCGGTGAGCCTGGCGGCGGCGGCGGAGGGAGGCGGGCGTGCGCCAGGAATAAAGAGTAAGAGGAACAAAATGGGGGGGAATAAAAAGTGTGGGCGGGAGGCAAACGGACGCACGGCGGCCACGCACGCAGCAGGAGGAGAAACATTCCGCCAGGCGCAGTAAACGACGCGGCGAGGATCAAAGTGCCTCCGCTCCTCCCACGCACACACACACACACACGCATGCACATACACATGTGTGCATGCAACGGCAAAGGCAGGCGGCGACTGAGAATAAAAGAGAGGAATGGAAAACGAGGGTGCCTTAGCTTGGAGGGGGGTCGGAGGGACGGAGCAACAAGAGAGAGGGGGCGAGCCAAACAAAAAAAAACACGCTGTGTGTGTGTGGGGGGGAGGGATGGTTGGGAGGGCGGCGACATGTCTCTCAGTGTGGTTTGGGGGAGGGGAGGAGGGGGGGCAAGATGTTGTGCTCCGTGCAACTCATGCGAAGTCGCGTTGGAGCCATCGAGGGAGAAGTATTGTCTGCTGTTGTGTTGTTCGTCTTTCCCCATTGTGCGCCGAGGCCTGCCTCGCCGAGGGGACACAACACGCGGGAAATGGCGCAGAAGCGGAAACAAAACCAAAGAGGGGAGGGAGGGGAGGCAGAGGCATAGAGTGAGAGAGACACTCTTCCACGCTGACGATGCCTTTGCTTGGCGGGTTGTGTCTGTTTTGTTTTTGTTGTTGTTGTTTTCCCTACCTTTTTCTTTTTTTGTTTCTGCTTCTGTTTCTTCTGTTTTGTTTTTTCTTTCTTTCTTTTCTCTCTCCCTCCCCCGTTAGATTCCTTTTACTACTTATTCTCTCGCGACGACGGCCCAGTTGCGGTGCGAGCGGTCTGCGGCAAGCAATGTATTTGTGTGTCCCCACATTTGATTCCACTTTTTTCTTCTTTTTCTTTCTTTTCTGTTTTTTTTCTCTTTTTTGTTCTTGTTGTCTTGTTTCCCGCTGCCTCTCCTGCCGGCGCCGCAGACGACTGGGCCTTGCCTCCCACCCACCACACACACACACACACACACGTACGTACGTATTACTGCGCTGGCGGCCGCGGCTGACGACGCCCCTCCCCCGCCCTTCGCTCCCCTCTTTCCTCTTCTCTCCGACTGCTCTTTTCCTCTCTTTTTTCTTTTCTCTTTGTTGTTGTTGTTGTTGGTTGTTTTTTTGTTGTTTCCCCCCGCCAACGCGGCGCACGGCCTTTTGGCTCCCGTGGCGTCGATTTTGCTCTGCGGGCCTGGCGGCGGCGGCGGCGCAGCCCGGCAGACCGGCAAGGCGTCGGGGGTGCGAGTGCGTGCGTGCGTGGGCTGCCGTGGCGCCGAGCGGACGGGCGCGGCGTCGTGGGGTTCATTCGGCACCACCAGCCGCTGCAAAAGAAAAGAAAAAAAACTACAAAAATGACAGCGAAAATGGATGAGGCATCCGCCTTGATCGCGTGGGGGCGGCAGGTGCTCGCAAACCGACGCCTGCAGAAGCAACGGGAACGGCTGCAGCGTGAAGTGCAACGCACCGGCGACGCGGTGCCGCTTGCGAATCCCGCTGGGGCCCGCCACTCGCCCGTGCCAGAGACACCCGAGACGCGCTGGAGCAACGAGGTTGCTGCGGCGCTCGTGATGGACAACGCGACCCCACAAGAGCATCGCGCGGAGCAACTGCTAGAGCGTGGGGGCGGCCACGAAGGTGTGTCACCAAACCGCCTTGCTCCTCCTTCGAAGGCGGCGTACCGTCCGATGCAAGAGACGGCGGAAGTGGTGCAGCTCAAGCGACGAATTGAGGTGGCCAAGCAGAGTCTTCAGGAGCTGCGCGGGCTTGAGCGCCGCAATGCAGAGGCGTTTCGGCGTCGCATGCGGGAGTTGCAGAGTATGCGGCGGCAGGTAGAGGTGTACCGAGAGCCCCGTCAGTGTACCGCTGCTGACTCCCTTGCGGTGAAGAGTCTGGGGCAGTCTCGCTTCGGCGCAGCCGCAACGTCGCACCAGCGCCAGAGACAGGGACAGCCGAAAGTGGGTTACAAGGAGCAACTGGAAGAACTCTGGGAGCTCCAGAAGGCTGTGCTGAAAAGCTTGAATGATGAGAAATTGGCCGGAGTGGCAGTGTCCTCCTTGACGGTTTGCGCTGGTGATGTGCAGAATTGGGACGATCGCCTCTGGCGTCTGTTACGCGAGGCGACGTTTAACTGGAAGCTACGACTGCTGCCATCGCTTCGCGAGTTCCTGGAGCTCGTGCAGCAGCTGCCGATGCTGCCGCAGCGAGAGGAAACTGCAAGAACAAGCCCGATTAGATCCCCGACAGAGTACACTGAGGTCGCCGCCGCCCTGGACGCCTCCCTCGGCCCCGTCACGGCTCGCGTGCGGCTACCGGCGGAGGCGGACTACCCCGCGCTGGAGTGGCTGGACAATCTGCCCGTGACGGAGGCAGTTGGCGTCGTGCGTGACGTTCTCGCCAGGGCAGGGGCGGACACTGCGGCGTCCCTCGCCTCCCTCATTCAGCTCTCGGACCAGAAGGACGCCCAGCTTGCCTGCCTCCTTGGCGAGGCGGAGCAGCAGCTGCTGCGACAGGACGATGCCTTGGAGGAGGCGCACGCGCTGATAGGGAGGCTGCAGGATGAACAGACGTCGCTGGCGGAGGACGGTGTCGCCCTCCACGACGCCATTGCGCTGCTGCAGGAAAAAGTGGTCGTGCTGAGGTCCCAGCGTGAGGAGCGGCGGCGCCAGGAAGCGGCGGCGACGGAAGAGCTGCAAAGGCACCAAGCCCGCATTCATGAGTTGAGGCAGAGTCTTGAGCGAGAGGCGGCCCTGCGGAGCGAAGCCGGGAGGCGCACAGACGAGGCGAAACGGTCCATCGAAGACGCGGCGCTGCAAACAACGCTCCTCCATGAGGAACTAGAGCGCACCACGGAGCGCCAAAATGGCGTGGAGCACGAGGTGCTGCGACTTCGACGGCTTTTTCGCCTGGTGAAGGAAGAGGAGGCAGAGGCGACACGCCAAAGAGAACGGCAAGACGAGGAGCTCCGCGTGGCGCAGTCGGCCCTGCAAACATCCAGAGAAGCCTTCATGCGGCAAAGACAGAGGCAGGACGAGGACCAGAAGGCATTTGCGTCTATCCGTTGCGGTACGCATGGGGTGCTGAGTGCGATACAGGTGGATGAAGATGCCTGCGCCGATTGCGCCAAAGAAATTGACATACAGCGGGGTGTTGCGGCTGTCGTGCGTGAGGAGCTTGCAGCCCTGCAGGCGGAAGTGCATGAGGCAAATAAGGCGTTGGCGGCGGCACAGAGAATCGCTCCACGCCGTGAATGAGAAGTTAGAGGCGGCAAAAACGGCGCTCATGTACAAGTGCGAGGTGTCTGGTGCAGTCGCAGGGGGCGCCGTTGCAGCGACGGCCTCGCCGTCGCAAGGAAACCTCGCGGAGGTGCTGCTTCCAAAAACCGGCGGCTCCGGGAGGAAGATGAGCCCGGCTGCCCCACACTTGAATACGTCCCACCGCTCGGAGCCCGCGTCTTCAGGGGCGGCGGAAGCAGGCAACCCCGTCTTGCCCTCCCTTGGCGAGAACGGCGAGCGACGCGCTCCGCTCATTGTATCGCTACCCTCGCGTCAAGACGAGCCACCGCAGTGAGTAAGAAGCATGTGCGGCTAGCTGTATACTTGCTCGTATGTCCGCGTCTCGTTGACGTTGCCGGCGGGGAGGAATGCCTTCGTTTCTCTCTCTTCCTCTGTGTGTGTGTGTGTGTGTGTCTGTTGGGTGGGGGACTGACGCTGCCGATGCGTTTGCAGGCACACTCCCTTCTTCTTCTTCTTTTCCCCTTCTTTCTCTTTCTCTTCGTCTGAACTCGGCGAGGGATAAGTACTGCTAATAGTGGTGGCAGTGATAGTAAGTAATACTAAAACAACAGTTTCAGTGGTGGCTGCTCCCGTTGCTGTTGTCGTCGTGCGTCTTTGCCCGGGTCAACCCGCTCACTCACCGGCGACCACCTCCCCCCACACCGCACGGCTGCCTGACGGACGAAGGCAGATTCCCTTGGACGACTCTCCCACACCACCCCCACGGTCATGGCAGGTTTTCGCTACCACATGCACATTGTGGACGGTGGCGACCCGACCAGCACCGTCACCGCGGCCACCTTGTTCGCACACCTCACACTTCGCTGTGGACAGCTGCGCAACTATCTGTTGCTCAGTGCCAGCACAACGGACGCCAAGCGGCAGCGAGAGGCGCCTCGGTCAAGCCTTAGTGGGACACGAAAGGTGCAGCTGGCGGCAGCAGAGCCGTCGTCGGGGGGAAGCCAGGATGACAAGGTCCTGCTTGCCGCGGAGTCGCTTCTTCGTGGGGATGAAAACCTTCGTGCGAGTTTGGGCACCGGCGCGGACGCGAGTGGGCCGGTGGCCGAGGTAAAGGATCGCATTATCCCATACACAGGCTTTAGCTGCGGGTTTGTTCAGTCCGAGGTCTTCCTCGCCCGCTCTGGGGTACGCTACTTTGACTTTATTGCCACCGCCGATATTGCAAGCTTTAACTACGTGCTGAACTACTACCAGGGGCTGCGCATGCAGGAGAAGGCGGGCCAAGGAACACGCAATGGGGCTGCGCCGCGTGTGGGGTGGGGATCTTGCCCGCAGGAGCAGCAGCCACGGCGCCAGAAGGTGGGTCTCGTGCACATTCTGTGCGGCGAGCCGGCGCGGGCGGGGCACTTGCTGCAGCGCTTTATAGAGCTGCTGCTGGAGGTGGACACTGCACCGCGCGAGGGGGCGGCGGGGAATGACGCAACCTTTGCGTGGATCAGCCGCGCTGACGGCGTCATCTCGCGGATGTATCAACTGCTCGGCGTCGATGTCCTCTTCGCGGTGCTATGACCCCACCGCCTCCCCGGGATCCGTGCACGCACGCAGAGATATATATGCATATATGTGTGTGTCCCCGTCCTCTATACGTGTGTTTTTTGTTTATGTACTTGGCGTCAGGCAAAGAAACGGTATGTAAAGAAGG